GGGATTGAGCCCCACATCGGGGGTCTCTGCTTAGCAGGGAGCTTGCTTCTCCCTCTCCTGCCTTCCCCTGATTGTGCTCTCTCTCTTTCTGTCAAATAAATAAATAAAATCTTTAAAAAAAAAAAAAGAAGAAGAATCGAATGCTTAACCGACTGAGATTTCCAGGCGCCCCTGTATGACTTCTTTGGAAAAGTGTCTATTCAGGTCCTTTGCCCATTTTTAAATTGGTTGTTTTTTGGGCGCCTGGGTGGCTCAGTTGGTTAAGCGACTGCCTTCGGCTCAGGTCATGATCCTGGAGTCCCGGGATCGAGTCCCGCATCGGGCTCCCCGCTCAGTGGGGAGTCTGCTTCTCCCTCTGACCCTCTTCCCTCTCGTGCTCTCTATCTCTCATTCTCTCTCTCTCAAATAAATAAATAAAATTTAAAAAATAAATAAATAAATAAATTGGTTGTTTTTTGTTTTGCTATTGAGTTGTAGGAGTTCTTTGTATATTTTGGATATTAACCCTCTATTGAATATGTGGTCTGCAAATATTTTCTCCCATTCCCTAGGTTGCCTTTAATTTTGTTGATGGTTTCTCTGAAATTTCTAATGTGGGGAAAGAAGAGAGAATATTGATTGCCACTTAATCTGTAACTTATACTGATCTAGATGGATCATAAAATGCACTTAGAACTCAACTAGAGAGGGTATTGTGTTTTGGTTGCCTAAAAAAGAAAAACAATACAACTTCTTGTTTTTTTTCTAGAGGAGACTTAGAAAAATTAAGGTCAAATGTAGAGATATCTCTGTAATTTTATTATTTCTTTTCAACTTTTAGGTAAAAAATTACACTGATGCCCTAAACTGGTACTATTATTCTCTGAGATTTTATGCAGTTCATCAAACAGATCTGGACTTGGCCAAGCTGCGGAGGAACATGGCTTCCTGTTACCTGCATTTGAAACAACTTGATAAGGTCCTTTGATTTATCTATTTTTCTTTTTCTTTTTTTTTTAAGATTTTATTTATTTATTTGACAGAGAGAGAGAGACAGCGAGAGAGGGAACACAAGCAGGGGGAGCAGGAGAGGGAGAGGCAGGCTTCCTGTGGAGCAAGGAGCTCGATGCAGGGCTCGATCCCAGGGCCCTGGGATCATGACCTGAGCCGAGGGCAGACGCTTAACAACTGAACCACCCAGGCACCCCTGATTTATCTATTTTTCAAAGGCAGGAGGTGTTACATGCAGTGGCAGAGAGAGATATAATTTGGTGTGTTTTTTTGGCTACGAGGTTAAGATATCCGAGAGTTCTTTCATACAAGATAAACTCAGATTGATATTTTCCTGATTTGTACACTGTAAACATGACTGATTGGGACTTCCCAGAAAGAGAGAACTTGAAAAACTATTAATTCCATTACTTACTGGGTTTTTTTGGCACCCTTTTCTGAAAAGTAATGTATCATTGGAACTTCTGAACAAAGTTGTCTTGCTACTAACCATCTGCAGTATTGTCTTTGAAGCAGACTAAATTATAAGGTACACTTTTATTGGTCAAACATTTCAGTGTGGGAAAACACTCAGATAAAATGGTCGTTCTTTTATATACTGGGTAACCTGTTGCCTATCCAACCACTTTAGAAAATGTTTAGCAACTGATTGTTTTTCAGAACAACATTCTAGGAGGTGAATGAGATAAAAACCTATTTAAGGATGGGACATTTCTTCTTTTGGGTGTCATATAGTATGCACTTAAGTGGGGAAAGGTATTGGCTTGTGGAAGGACAAGTGTGAACCCAGATAAAATATGAAGGCTTTTGTTGCTTTTCAGGTTTTAATGACAAGTTTAGGGGAAACTATGTGATTACTGGTTGTAATTCCAGACATTTTCTTTGAGTTTTTGTTTACTTTGAAGGGTTGTTTGACTAAATACTTTAAATTTTCTTTCAAAAGAATATTTACCATTTAGTTTGTATGTTAAAAATTTATAGTTCTGAAGACAAGTTGAAACGTTACTTAGTTCATGGTACTTCAGCATAGCCTAGCATTTAAGTGTTTCAGAAAGATAGTTGACACTACTGTTTACTTAAAGACCTGAAAAAAAAAAGATTATCGTACAGGTTTCATTACCTAATTCATTATATTTCTGCATAGGATGCCATTAACTATTTCAGAAAGTTGCTTACTTAAAGACATAATGAAGGTGATCAGAAAGTTACTGTAACTTTCATGATTTATGTTGGCCTGAGAGTTTGGGAAGGACCTGGACTTGGAGTCCGACGTGCCATTTGGATGAATACATTTTCAGGCCAAGGAAGGGTATCTCTTCCGCTATCTGTTCAGCTAATGCAGATAGAGTACAGCACAAGACGCCGTGGTGGTCTTTGAGCTTACAGACACGAATAAGACAGAGTAGCCTTTAACTCAACCAAGCAGCTAGCCTCAGGGCATCCTACTGGGCAGATCTGTAAAGGTTTTACTTATTTATTTGAGAGAGAGCGCGAGCGCACACATGAATGGGGGGTGGGTGAGGGGCAGAGGGAGAGGGAGAAGCCGACTCTCCATTGAGCAGGGAGCCTAATGTGAGGCTCGATCCCAGAACACTGAGATCATGACCTGAGCCGAAGGCAGCCGCTCAAACAACTGAGCCCCCCAGAGATCCCTAGAATATGAGGCTCTTTTGAAGAGTGGAGGTCAGGCATAGCGGACCAGTCTGGGATGCAGTTACTAGCATTGAAGTGAGTAGATACAGTCTTTCAAGACTTGAAGCAGTGCCTCTTCTTCTTTTTTTTTCTAAAGTAGTCTCTACACCCAGTGTGGGGCTTGAACTCACGACACTGAGATCGAGTCACATGCTCCACCGATTGAGCCAATCAGGCACCCTGAAACAGTGCTTCTTAAGTCTCCTCTGACTAATGTCAAGTTTGATCTTAGAGCCCAATATAGGATGAAGCCTATAATTTGGAGTACAAATGGTATTAGTAGTAAGGAGGAGAAGAGGAGAGCAGGAAACCAGGCATGTCCTAATAGTGTATACTCAGCATGTAATTACATCATTTAAGGCCAGACTGGTGATGAAGCCAAAAGTTATTCTCAGTATGTTCAAGGTAATCTTGTTGATTACTGTTAGTATATTTTTCTCTTCATCCTTCCTGTCTTGAACTCAGCAGCCATTGATTTGGTACCCGCCATATGTAAGGAATACTCTCCTGTGCACTAAGACAGAAAGGTGAACAGAAATTACACAATCCATTATATTTTACTGTTTTACTATTCCCACCTTCCCTTGTTAATTTTCATTGTCTTTTTTTCACTCCTTCCCTTGAGCTATTTGAACATTGTTCAGAAAAAATTTGTGAAACCATGTTTACTGGATCTGCTAAAATTGCATGGTTTTTCAGCTAGGTACTCAATAAAACTGACTCTTACTAACTTTCTGTCATATTCCTCACAACGGTGATTCCAAAATTTTTGGTCCTTAAGCCACCATGCCTTACCCTTCCCTTTAGCAAAAAACTTTTATCTTGTAATTTTCTGAACTTATAGCCACTCATATAAACTTCATCAACTTCTCCTTTCTTTACTCTTCCTTTCTTCTTCTTATCTCTTAGGAAGAACTTTTTCTGGGGACCTTCTCTACAAATCTCAACTTGAACCCTTTTTTTTTTTAAAGATTTTATTTATTTATTTGACCGAGAGACAGGGAGAGAGGGAACACAAGCAGGGGGAGTGGGAGAGGGAGAAGCAGGCCTCCCGCTGAGCAGGAAGCCCGATGCGGGGCTCGATCTCAGGACCCTGGGATCGTGACCTGAGCCGAAGGCAGACGCCTAACAACTGAGCCACCCAGGCGCCCTCAACTTGAACTCTTTTATGTTTCTCTCTCAACTGTTTCTTTCCCCATCACTACAATTATTTTGACATCTTCTTTATTCAAAAACCCTCCTTCAGTCTTGTCATCCTGCTCAAATTACAGTTCTCTCTTGTCCTTCCTTTCACCAAACTTTTTAACCTAAAATTACTGCTGATATTTTTTTCACTGTCCATTTATTTAAAAAATATGTATTGACTATCTACTATATGTTAAGTACTGTCCTAGGCATTGGAGTATAGTAATGAACAAAATAGACAAAAACACCTACACCCATGGAGATTATCATTCTATTAGGAGTGACGGAAAATAAAAAGATGAATATTATGGTATATTACAGAGGTCAGCAAAATTTCTGTGAAGAACCACATAGTAAATATTTTAGGTTTTTTACACCGTACAGTGTCTGTTGCAGCTATTCAACTCTGCTGTTGTACCATGAAAACAGCCATAGACCATGTGTAAACAAATTGGCATGGCTGCGTTCCAATAAAACTTTATTATTTAGGAACACTGAAATGTGAATTTCATATAATTTTCATGTGTCATAAAATATTCTTCTTTGGATTTTTTTTCAACCTTTCAAAAATGTAAAAGCCTTCTTAGCTTGTGGACTATACAAAAACAGATGGTGGCCTAGAAGTGGCCCAAAGGCCATAGTTTGCTGACCCTGTTATATTAGTGATAAGTGCTAAGGAGAAAACTGAGGAGGAAAGGGTGGCGTTAAATGTTTTAGAAGAGGAATAAAGGGTTGAAATTTTAGATAGGGTGGCCAAGGAAGGCCTCAGTGAGAAGGTGATTTTTGATTAGAGACCTGAGGAAATGAGGGATCTGGCTATGTGGATATCTGGGGAGGGGGGAATCCCACAGCATTCCAAATAGCAGGAATAGCAAGTGCAAAGGTTGTGGGGATAGGAGCATACCTGGGGTATTTGAAGGGATGGGTGTGGCTCTAGCACAGGTAATATTAAGGAAAGTAGGAACTGTGATCAGGGAAATAGTGGGGAAACGGATCATATAAGAAAGACATTGTAGCTCATTGTAAAGATTTGTCATTAATGCTAGGTGAGATGGGGAGCCACGCGCGGTTGGGCAGAGGAATGACATGATCTGACTTGCATTTTATTTTATTTTTTGAATTTTTAAAATTTTTAAGATATAGAACACTTCACAAATTTGCATGTCATCCTTGTGCAGGGGCCATGCTAATCTGCTCTGTATTGTTCCAGTTTTAGTATATGTACTGCCAAATTGAGCACGATCTACCCTGCATTTTAATAAGATCAGTCTTACCACTGTATTGAATAGGCTAGGGCAGGTGCAAGGGTGGAAGCAAGGAGACCATTTAGGAGGCCACTGAAATAATCTAGGCAAGAGATGAGGTGGCATGGACTGGAGTGGAAGAATTGTGGGTGGGGAGCGGATTCTAAATAGATTATAAAAGTAAAGATGACAGAATTTCCTGACAATTCCCAACCAGATGTAGGATAGAAGAAAAAGAATAGACAAGGCTATCTAAGGTTTTTAGCCTCACTACCTATCCCCCTCTTGATGATTTTTGCGTCTTTGATTCTATAAAGAAGATCACTAGTGACCTTTTAATGATCAGGTCTAATGATCTTTTCTCAGTCCTTCTTGTCCTCTGATCTCTCTAGCACAAAACAGTGTAATACTGTCAACCACTTCATCCTTCTGGAAACTTTCTCTTTGGCTTCTGTGACATCTCTTAATCCTATTTATTGCTCTGGCTATTCCTTCTCTGTTTCTGTTACTGGATCTTTTCACCAAATAAATATTGGATGAGGGCAGGTATTATGTTTATCTTGTTCACTATTTTATCCCTAACACCCATGACCATGCTTGGTACGTGGTAAGTTTTCAATAAACATTTCTTGAGTGAATTTATTCTCTGGTCTCTTCTTTTTTTTTCTTCTGTACACTCTACCCTCAGTAATTCATCTTAGCTTCAACTCTTCATTCCTAAATCTGTATGTCTAGCCCTGATCTCTCTCATAGCCCACATTCATTTTTCTATCATTGGGTGTACCCAGCAATCTGAGACAAATTTTAGATTCTTGGATTCCTTCTGCTCCCCCCTGTATTCATCATGTGTCACGGCTGATCAGTTCTACTTCTGCAGTATTTTTGCCAGCTGTCTCCTCTTCCATCTTTACCTCACTACTCTAGTCCAGGCTTTCATCACCTCTGTCACCATTGGAATAATCTTCTAACCAATTACAGGGAGCCATTCGATAATTTTCAGTGGCTCCCTATAAATAAAGACCAAATTCCTTGGTACTTAAGGTCCTCCATAATCTAGAAATAATATAATCCTATTTTATTTCTATTACATGTATACTGTGTTTGTCCTAAATTGGATTATTTGCAGCTTCATAACCATGATCTGTGCTTTTCTACCTCTGTACCTTTTTCCATGCTTCTCCATTGCGAATGACCTCTTCCCTGCATTTCTACCTTATGAAATTTCCTTTATCAAAGCCTAGGTCCTAATGACAGTCTTCGCTTTATAAGGAAATTTCTGAGTCTTACTTTTCTTCTAAAACTTTGTAACACTTCTGTTTATACCTAGGTACTTATGTTCTGCATTGTATTCTAGTTATTTGTATACCTGACTTAGCCCGCTATCAGATTGCCACCTCCCTGAGACAGGGACCATATGTTATCTTTATTTTCCCTGACAGCTGGCATAGAGACTCAATAAACACCTCTCAGTTTCTTGTGATTAAAGGAATTGCATTTCTTCATACTGTTTCTGTCCTTGCTCCTGTGGATAATTGGAAACTAAAAGTGATGAAGATCTATGCTTGATTATCAGAACTGAAGGAGATTACATTATTTTAGAAATCACCCCATTATTCTTTTTTTTATTATGTTATGTTAATCACCATACATTACATCATTATGTTGATGTAGTGTTCCATGATTCACTGTTTGCATATAACACCAGTGCTCCATTCAATATGTGCCCTCTTTAATACCCATCACCAGGCAAACCCATCCTCCCACCACCCTCCCCTCTAGAACCCTCAGTTTGTTTTTCAGAGTCCATCGTCTCTCATGGTTCATCTCCCCCTCCTATTTCACCCCTTCATTCTTCCCCTCCTGCCAGCTTCTTTTTTTTTTTTTTTTAACATATGATGTATTATTTGTTTCAGAGTACAGGTCTGTGATTCAACAGTCTTGCACAATTCACAGCACTCACCATAGCACATACACTCCCCAATGTCTATCACCCAGCCACCCATCCCTCCCACCCCCACTACTCCAGCAACCCTCAGTTTGTTTCCTGAGATTAAGAATTCCTCATATCAGTGAGGTCATATGATACATGTCTTTCTCTGATTGACTTACTTTGCTCAGCATAACACCCTCCAGTTCCATCCATGTCGTTGCAAATGGCAAGATTTCATTCCTTTTGATGGCTGCATGATACTCCATTGTATACATATACCACATTCTCTTTATCCATTCGTCTGTTGATGGACATCTTGGCTCTTTCCACAGTTTGGCTATTGTGGACATTGCTGCTATAAACATCGGGGTACACATACCCCTTGAGATCCCTACATTTGTATCTTTGGGGTAAATACCCAGTAGTGCAATTGCTGGGTCATATGGTGGCTCTATTTTCAACTTTTTGAGGAACCTCCATACTGTTTTCCAGAGTGGCCGCACCAGCTTGCATTCCCACCAGCAGTGTAGGAGGGTTCCCCTTTCTCCGCATCCCTGCCAACATCTGTCATTTCCTGACTTGTTAATTGCAGCCATTCTGACTGGTGTGAGGTGATATCTCATTGAGGTTTTGATTTGGATTTCCCTGATGCCGAGTGTGTTGAGCACTTTTTCATGTGTCTGTTGGCCATTTGGATGTCTTCTTTGGAAAAATGTCTGTTCATGTCTTCTGCCCATTTCTTGATTGGATCATTTGTTCTTTGGGTGTTGAGTTTAAGAAGTTCTTTATACATTTTGGATACTAGCCCTTTATCTGATATGTCATTTGCAGATACCTTCTCCTGTTCTGTCGGTTGTCTTTTGGTTTTGTTGAATGTTTCTCTTGCTGTGCAAAAAGCTTTTTATTTTGATGAGGTCCCAATAGTTCATTTTTACCCTTGCTTCCCTTGCCTTTGGCAGTGTGTCTAGGAAGAAGTTGCTGTGGCTGAGGTCGAAGAGGTTGCTGCCTGTGTTCTCCTTTAGGATGTTGATGAACTCCTGTCTGACATTTAGGTCTTTCAACCATTTTGAGTCTATTTTTGTGTGTGGTGTAAGGAAATGGTCCAGTTTCATTCTTCTGCATGTGGCTGTCCAATTTTCCCAACACCATTTGTTGAAGAGACTGTCTTTTTTCCATTGGACATTCTTTCCTGCTTTGTCAAATACTAGTTGACCATAGAGTTGAGGGTCCATTTCTGGGCTCTCTATTCTGTTCCATTGATCTAGATTTCTGTTTTTGTGCCAGTACCATACTGTCTTAATGATGACAGCTTTGTAATAGAGCTTGGAGTCTGGAATTGTGATGCCACCAGCTTTGCTGTTCTTTTTCAACATTCCTCTGGCTATTTGGGGTCTCTTCTGGTTCCATACAAATTTTAGGATTATTTGTTCCATTTCTTTGAAAAAAGTGGATGGTATTTTGATGGGGATTGCATTGAATGTGTAGATTGCTCTAGGTAGCATTGACATCTTCACAATATTTGTTCTTCCAGTCCATGAGCATGGAACGTTTTTCCATTTCTTTGTGTCTTCCTCAATTTTTTTCATGAGTATTTTATAGTTTTCTGAGTACAGATTCTTTCCTCTTTGGTTAGATTTATTCCTAGGTATCTTATGGTTTTGGGTGCAATTGTAAATGGGATCCAACTCCTTAATTTCTCTTTCTTCTGTCTTGTTGTTGGTGTATAGAAATGCAACTGATTTCTGTGCATTGATTTTATATCCTGCCACTTTACTGAATTCCTGTATGAGTTCTAGCGGTTTTGGGGTGGAGTCTTTTGGGTTTTGCATATAAAGTATCATATCATCTGCAAAGAGTGAGAGTTTGACTTCTTCTTTGCCGATTTGGATGCCTTTGATTTCTTTTTGTTGTCTGATTGCTGTGGCTAGGACTTCTAATACTACGTTGAATAGCAGTGGTGGTAGTGGACATCCCTGCCGTGTTCCTGACCTTAGGGGGAAAGCTCTCAGTTTTTCCACATTGAGAATGATATTCGCTGTGGGTTTTTCATAGATGGCTTTTATGATATTGAAGTATGTACCCTCTATCCCTATAGTCTGAAGAGTTTTGATCAAGAAACAATGCTGTACTTTGTCAAATGCTTTTTCTGCATCTATTGAGAGGATCATATGGTTCTTGTTCTTTCTTTTGTTAATGTATTGTATCACATTGATTGATTTGCAGATGTTGAACCAGCCTTGCAGCCCAGGGACAAATCCCACTTGGTCATGTTGAATAATCCTTTTAATGTACTGTTGGATCCTGTTGGCTAGTATTTTGGTGAGAATTTTTGCATCCGTGTTCATCAAGGATAATGGTCTGTAGTTCTCCTTTTTGATGGGGTCTTTGTCTGGTTTGGGGATCAAGGTAATGGTGGCCTCATAAAACAAGTTTGGAAGTTTTCCTTCCATTTCTATTTTTTGGAACAGTTTCAGAAGAATAGGTATTAATTCTTCTTTAAATGTTTGGTAGAATTCCCCTGGGAAGCCACCTGGCCCTGGGCTTTTGTTTGTTGGGAGATTTTTGATGACTGCTTCAATTTCCTTAGTGGTTATAGGTCTGTTCAGGTTTTCTGTTTCTTCCTGGTTCAGTTTTGGTCATTGATACATCTCTAGGAATGCATCCATTTCTTCCAGGTTATCTTAATTTGCTGGCATATAGTTGCTCATAATATGTTCTTAAAATTGTTTGTATTTCTTTGGTGTTGGTTATGATCTCTCCTCTTTCATTCATGATTTTGTTGATTTGGGTCATTTCTCTTTTCTTGGTGATAAGTCTGGCCAGGGGTTTATCAGTCTTGTTAAATTCTTTCAAAGAACCAGCTCCTAGTTTCGTTGATCTGTTCTACTGTTCTTTTGGATTCTATTTCATTGATTTCTGCTCTGATCTTTCTTATTTCTCTTCTCCAGCTGGGTTTAGGCTTTATTTGCTGTTCTTTCTCCAGCTCCTTTAGGTGTAGGGTTGGGTTGTGTATTTGAGACCTTTCTTGTTTCTTGAGAAAGGCTTGTATTGCTATATACTTTCCTC